GTGTTTTAATTTATCAATTTTGATTAGATCAAAATAATATTTCACGTCGTTAGGCATCGTGGTCGGGAACCTAATGGGTCACACACAAAAGAGAATTGGAAGATTGCAAATTGCCAATTGATTAATTTAACAATCGTTGGATAAATTAATTAATTGGATTTGTTATTTATATTTTCGAATTAATTAATTGGATTAATTAATTCACGGACCGGGTTTAATTAATTGGATTAATTAATTATTGGGCCGGACCGGGCCGAGCCTATTTGGGTTTATATAAATACATAACTAGGGTTTGAGGTCCATTAAGGTTTTCATTATTCTTGCTAGCATAAGAGAAAACCCTAGAGGCTGCAATTATTTTCTCTGTGTGGATCACCGTTGGAGGCTGGACAATTGGACAGCTGTGGTGGCGAATCAAAGTGGTGGAACGAAAAGAAAAGCAAAAGGATTGCAGATCTGAAAAAGGTACAATCTTATCACAATTCCTAACCAAACACAATGAGATCTATTGGATGGGAATCGAAATAATTTAATTTTCCGCTGTGCATGTATAAGTAGATTCCCAACAATACTTTAGCTTTGGGAAGGGCTTGTGTTTCTTCCCGCAATCTATCTTTGATTTTTTGGACCTGGAGCTCCATTCCCTTCACGGCAGAGTCGATTTCTGATAAATCACTGATGCTGCTTGCTGGGTACATTGTTAAATTTAGAATAATAACAATTATGATAAATGAACTTTGACATATGTAATCTAAATAATGAGAAACCGTTTAAAGTGAAAATAAAACGATCAATTTCTTAACTGTTGCGGGCAATTACGAATTGCTGGAGCTCCACTATTCGAGTGTTGAATGAGGAAATCAGAGAGTCCAGAGACGAGCCAGCTTGTTTCACGTCCATTTCTGTCTCTCTTCGAAGAATACAGTCTGCTCCGCTCTCGTTTTATTCTCGGAGAAGGCGATAGCAAATTCGAAAATCAGGGACCCAAAAATTTTGGCGGGTAGGAGGACAAAATCTATTTGAACCTTAAATTTTAATTTTAATTTGATTTTGATTAAAATCTGGTTTTAATCTAAAAGTTAAAGTCAAACTATCAATATTAATCACACAACTTTTCAACCGCACATTTCAAAAAATTTTATTATAATTTACTAAAAAATCTAATTTTAATTGTCGCCAAACATCTCCAAAGTAATTAGACGGGTCAAGGTGAGTTGGCCATCTAGAGAGCCAAGTTTGGCCCCATGGAACATGTCAAGAGCTTGGGTATTTAAAGAAAATGGAAATTACACAATACCATACTTTAAAAATTCAACGTTCTAAAATCAGGTGGAAAGTTTTACTATTCAAAAATTAGAAAACCCTGAGGGGTTGTTCTCTTCGTGGTTGAGTTTTGTAATTTTGAGTTTCGAATTCATTTTGGATTTTGTGTTTTGAGTGTTCATTTTGAGATTGTTGAAAGCACCTTTTTTTTTTTTGTCATTTTAGAATATTGTTTTTCAAAACACGAAATTGAAAAATATTTTTTCTTGTAAATTTTGAGAATGATTTTTTATAATATTTTTCTTCAAAAAACCACCACAAAGCTGCCACCACTGGAATCGCTATCGCTATCGCAACCAGTCACCATCGTCATCGCAACCACCACAACCAGTCACCAAGACAGCCAATCACCACCACAAAATCAACTGTCAGTACCACCACCATCAACACCACTGCCAAAATCATCATCTCGACCGTCGGTACAACCATCAACGAAAACCAAAATCGCCACCACCATCAACCGAACCCGAAATCACCACCACCATCAACCAAAACCATAAAACCCCCAACAGTATTAGAGAGAAGAGTCAAGAGAGAGAAGAAACCAAATCGCCACCACCTTCAACACCCATCACCCATCGCCGTGCTACGAACGTCGGGCCCAACCACAGTAGCGTCGCAAGCGACAAATAGGTCATGACGATGCTGTGGTTTGGAGCAGAGGTCGCGACGCTGCTGTGGTTTGGAGCAGCGTCGCCTCCCCATATCGACGTGAGCACCAATGCCACCACCATCAACCACTGCTTCGTCGTTGGCGTCAAGAAGGGGAAGGAGGAGACGACCCAATGGAGAGAATGAAGATGGAAGTCTCACGGCCATCCAATTTTTTTCTCTTTCCTGTTTTGGCGTGTTTTGAGTTTTGGATATGTTTTTAATATTTTCAACAGAAAACACTCAAAATGACCTTTGTCGTTTTGTGTTTTCTTCGCAATTTTTTTTTGTTTTCAAAAACGCATTTTCGAAAAATGGAAAGAGAACACGTTTTCACCGTTTTGAAAAATCGAAAACAGAAAACGCCAAAGAGAACTGCCCCTAATTTTCTCGATTATTTTCTCTCTCTCTCTCTCTCTCTCTCTCTCTCGCTCTCTTTTTCTACCTTCTTCTTTTTCATTATCTCATTCCAGAAGATAAGAATGCGCCACCAATTTTCGAATATGGCACACTGTTTTGGTAATGATTTAGCGGCGAACTTGATCCACCACCTCAATACCAGATGAAGCCTCTACAGCAACCTTTGCAAAAGTAGATGCAGTCGCAGTCGCAGACAATACCATATGCTGCCACCACAACAGTCGTCGGGATACTACTATCCGCAAACACCTCCTGCAGCGGAAGCGATTCCTCACTGCTTTGTGCACGGTGACTATTGACATATGGTTGATTTCATTCACAATGTTTTGATCATAACAAACAAGATTGATATTGTTTCTGACAATTTATTTTGAGTAATGATAGTTTAATGTTAAAATCTATTAAACAACATATATTGGACTTGAAATGAAGATCAAATTGGAAGTTGCTTATGCAGTCAAGTCAAATCATTCGAGACGAGAGCTTAAAAGATAAATGCCAAAAAAGTCAAGCATTGAATATCAATGGCAAGAAAGATAAAGATCAAAAGTTCAAGAGCCAAACATGGAAGAAACTTCGAAGGAAGATCTAAGACTTGATTTCTTAGGCAAAATATAAAGGTACTAACAGTTTGATATTTGACAATGAATGGTTAAGCTCAAAATCCTTCTATACATTAAAAATAATTTTTGTGCATGAAAAGTCATCCAATGCAATGTTTTGATCAAATATAAAAATGACTTTTATAAGTGATATTTGGACTTTAAAAAATAATTTTATCATGAAAAATTAGTTAAAAATATTTTCTAAAGATCCGTGCACTTCAAAACTTTCAAATCGAAGCAAATGAGATTAAAATGTAAAAATATCGCGCTATCGGGGCGATCAACCACCCAGAGAGGCGGTTAATCGGATCGATCGATCGGCCGTCGGAGGAGGTCGACCGGACACTCTCTAACGGTCCAGAATTTGACCGTTCTGATTTCTGATTTTTGCTGTACAAACGACTATATTGATCTTCTGGACAAGAGGCGGTCGACCGGACTAGTCTTTCGCCAGTGCAGATTTTTTTTCTCGTTTTTGAACTCTATAAATATCCCCACTCTTTCCATTCTTAAAGAGATTTCCAAGTGAATCAAAGATAGATATTTTTGTTTTAAGAATTCTTTGAGCTTTCATTTGCATTCATTTCATTTGTTTCCTCATATTAAAAACTTTGATTGATTTAAACTCATTAATCACCATTCTCATCAGAGTTTTTCATCTTTCTTTGTGTTTTAACTTATTTATATCATTCTTAAAAGAGTGGTATATTTTTTAAGAAGGTATTTGCAATTACATTGCATAAATCTTTCTACTTCTTCATATTGAAAAACTTTAATTGTTGAATCAAATTTCTTGAATAATTTCATTCATCAAAGTTTTTCATTTCTCTTTGTGTTCAACTTATTTATATCAATTTTCAAAGAGAGATATATTCTTGAAGAAGTTCTTTGCGCTTATATTGCATAAAATTTTCAACTTTTTCACATTGAAAACTTTGATTGATTGAATCAAATTTGTAAAATTATCATATTCATCAAAATTTCTCATTTCT